AGCATATGCTCACTCAGAAGCAGACCTTCAGGCAATCATTGGTGTCTTTACTAAGAGATACAAGAAAATGGGACTGACTTTTAATATTCAGAAGACTAAGTTCCTGTATCAACAAGCTCTTAATTAAAGTCCCCAGCTCCAGTAACTCAGATTTACGGTGAGACTCCGGGGAATCCTAAGTACTTCCTGTACCATGGCAGCTTTCTTTCGCAGAAGGCTGATATCACCAAAGCATTCCAACATCGCCTCAAATGTGCATGTGTAGCCTTCGGATGCCTGAGGAAACAGATGTTTGAAGCTTGCGACATCAGATCCCAAACCGAACTCATGGTTTATCAAGCAATTCTGATCCCTACCTTACTGTACCAAGCAGAGATGTGGACAGTGTACACAAGACACCTCAAGTTGCTGGAGGAGTACCAGCAATGATGCATGTGGAAGCTCCTTCAAATCCAGTGGGAAGGTAGAAGCACCTACGTTAGTGTCCTCTTGCAAGCAAGCACCACAAGCATCGACTTTGCTGAGCTGGCCACATCATCTGACTGTCTGACTCCAGACTCCTGAAGCAAGTTTTATTCTCCCACCTCAGTCAAGGTGTACACTCAAGATGAGGGCAGAGAAAGTGCTTTAAAGATGTCCTCAAGGCCAACTTGAAAAAATGGACCATTAACATCAACTCATGGGAGACTTTTGCCCAGGAGTGCCCCAAATGGAGGAAGAGTCTCCTGCAAGGATCTCAGTACTTTGAAACCTTACAACAACAACAACAGGAGATGAAAAGCAGGACTGGGAGGAGCAGTGTGTAGTGGACCAAATCAAGAATCTGAAGCCACCCAACGCGCATGGAATCACGTGCCTGAGTTGCAACAGAGTCTGTTGATCCCAGATCAGCTCATCAGTCATCTTCGGACCTGCAACTGTGAGGGATTATCGAAGAAGGTAGAATCTATAATAAAGAATAGAACCAACAACCACATGGACAAATGTGATCTGCTGAGGAGGAGTCGGCATGGTTTTTGTAAAGGGATATCCTGTGTCGCCAATCTGCTGAAGTTCTTGAGGGTGTTAACAGGATGTGGAAAAGGGGGATCTAGTAGACATAATGCATCTGGACTTTCAAGAAGCTTTTAACAAGGTGCCTCACCAAAAGATTTTAAAGAAAGTGTGTGCCACAGGATTGGAGGGCAGGTTCTTTCATGGATTGAGAGATGGTCAAAAGACAGGAAGCAAAGGGTAGGACTAAGTGGATGGAGGTCAAAAGTGGGATTCCACAGGGATCTGTGCTAGGCCCAATTTTGTTCAACATTTTCATCAATGATCTGGAAACTGGGGTGCACAGTGACATCTCCCAATTTTACAGATGGCACCAAATTGTTCCAGGTGATCAAATTTCAAATTCATGGAGTGGAGGTGTGCATATGTCCGAGCTGAGTGGGCAAAACAATGTCATGAACTTCAGTGTCAACAAATGCCAAGTAATGCACATGTGGGGGGGGGGGGGGGGAATAATCTCAACTGTACACCAGAATGCCAGATTTTGAACTAACTGTTATGACTCAGGAATGGGACCTTGGAGTCACTGTAGATCGTTCTTTAAAAACATCATCCTGATGTACAGCAGGGATCAAAAAAGCCAATACAATATTGACCATAATTAAGAAGGCAATTGGAAAGAAAACAGACAATATCTCATGCCTTTATGTAAATCTATGGTGCACTCACATCTTGAATACTGTGTACAGTTCCACATCTCAGAAGGGATCTATTAGAACTGGAAAAGGTACAGAGAAGGGCAGCCAAAATGATCAGGGACATGAAGCAGTTGCCATGCCAGGAGGGACTAAAAAGTTTAGGGGTCTTTAATTTGGAAAGAAAAATGCTGAATGGGGATATTTCACAGACATTAGGACTGGAAGGGACCTCAGAAGATCATCGAGTCCAGCCCCCTACCCCAGGGGCAGGAAGTCAGCTGGGGTCATAGGATCCCAGCAAGATAAGCATCCAAATTTCTCTTGAAGGTGTTCAATGTAGGTGCTTTAATCACCTCCGAGGGCAGGCTATTCCAGACCTTGGGGGCTCGGACAGTAAAGAAATTCTTCCTTATGTCCAGCCTGAAACGGTCTTGCACTAGTTTATGACTGTTCGACCTCGTCATCCCTTGGGGTGCTCTGGTGAACAAACGTTCCCCCAGATCCTGGTGAACGCCCCTGATAAACTTATAGGTGGCCATCAGATGGCCCTTGTGCCTGCGGTTTTCCAGGATAAAGAGCCCCATAGCTCTCACCCTGTCGTCGTAAGTTCTGCTTTCCTGACCTCTGATCATGCGCATGGCTCTTCTCTGGACTCTCTCAAGTTTCTCCACATCCTTTTTGAATTGTGGAGCCCAAACCTGGATGCAGTACTCCAGCTGCGGCCTCACCAAGGCTGAGTACAAGGGGAGAATGATGTCCCGGGATTTACTTGAGAAGCATCTATGGATGCAAGCCAGCGTTTTGCTCACTTTACTAGCCACAGCATCACCTTGAAGGCTCATGTTCATCTTGTGGTCAATCATGATATGATAGGTCTATAAAAGCATGAAGGGTATGGACAAAGTGAACAGGGAACTGTTATTCACCAAGTCCTACAATACTAGAACGAGGGAGCAGCCGCTGAAATTAGTAGGAGACAGGTTTAAGACTAACAAGATATAACTGGGCCAAGGGACCCCGCTACTGTAAAGGGAAACATGCAACAGGCAAGGCCTGCCGTCAGATGCAGGCACCTGGGGAAGGGGTAGCTTCAGGAGAATAAGCAGCCGGGGAAGCTGATGATGGAGGCTACAGCGCTGTAAGGTAGCTACTTGGGAGCCAGCTGCAAGGCAACAGGCCAATAGAACAGAGTTGCAGACAGGTAGGAGTGCAAAATGCAGCAGATGAGGACAGGCTGCTCATTAAGCTGAGAAGATGCATCTGGGATGATCAGAGGAGTGCATGACTAGAAGAGGTGGAGCTCAGGGGATAGAAACCTGGGTTGCTGAAGCAGAGCAGTCAGCCTGGCCCTGACTCCTGAAGGAAAGGAGCTCCTGCTAATATGAGCTGCTATCAGAGGGAAGGTGGAGACCTAGGGAAGTACACAGGAGGCCGGGGGAGAGCTAGCGAATAGGGGAAAGGGTTCGCAACAGTGTAGAGACCCAAAGCGAGGTTTGAATTTAAGTCAGAAAGTGGTGGGTCTGTGCTGGTGTTTGTGTTTGTGTCTGTGTTAGTTTAACTGGGGGCTTGGGTTGTGGTTCCAGGGGTGGATGTAGGCCACAGAGTACCTGAGGAGCACTCTGTACACAGAGCCCTGCAGGTGCTAGGGGCCCGCTGGGCTGATGGCATGCTGAGTCATGGGTGGCCAGCTTGGGGGCCACTCGGGGAACAAGGTGCTCTCTTGGGTCAGGGGGAGGGAGTGGAGTCCAGGATCAGGCCAGGTCAGGAGCCCATGAGATCAGTCCAGGAAGCCTGAGGGTCAGCAAGGTCAGGAAGGCAGGAGATCAAGTAGAGAGCAGGTAGAGGTGCAAGCTGCAAGGAACCCAGACTGTCTTGGGTAGGAGTTGAGTCCTACCTTGCCCAGACGCTTCCTTTTCTGGGTCAGAGGTTTATATGGGAAGGAGGGACAGGTCAGCTGACCCTGGCAGAGTGGGAAGATGGCTAGACCCAAGTGTAGGTTTCTGGCCAGCCTGCTCAGCCTCAACAGTCAGCTCTTCATGTCAGGTGTTCATTAAAGTGTTGGGCCTGGCCAGCCCTGCGGGAAGCAAGCACAATATTTGGGACTGCCCACTGGCGGCGCATAGGGGGTGCATGTGGGTGCACATGCACCCCCCGAAGTTGGCGGTGCAACCCCTGAAACAAGCGCTGCCAGCGGCGCCTGTGGGCAGTTGCCACTCGCCACCTCCCCCACTGCCGACACCGCTGTGGCCGCCTGTGGGGGCTCCCCATTCACCGCCGCCGCACCCCTGCCCCTGCTGCCGCCTGCAGGCAGTTTCCATGCCCCCGCAGCCTCCAGGGGCATGCATCATTCATGGGGCTGCCACACTCCAACCAGGAAGTGCTAGATCTTGGCCTTGCTCAACCAAGACATCACAGTCCAGATTGGTAAAACACCTGGCCCAGGTTGGCCTTGTTAGATCAGTGGCTTGGGGCTGTCACACCATGGCTAGAGAGGACTGGCCCAGTCAGTCCTTGAGGGGACCAGTGAGTGATGTTGTCCCAGTCTAGGTTGCGGGACAAATACATAGTCAGGCCTGAAACAAGTAGGGTGTGAGGATCTGTCATATTCCAGATAGGAAAGCACCAGGCCAGGATGTCTGGGGCTGTCATACTCTCTTGGGGAAAGCAGCTAGGGGGTGCATTGGCGTACAAAGACTTTAAGGGCCGTGGAAAGGACATTGGAAGTTGCTTTCTGGTGATCCTCAAGGGGTTATATTCAAAGATAGGAAGACTCTATGGGGCAAAAGGGGGCCTGGCTGAGGCTAATATTGGTTGTTTGCTGAGCTTTAGCTCTTACTAATGGTACTGGAGTGAGTGCTGTGGGTTAGGCCACTGGGGTAAACCACACTTCTACACAGTCCATGGAGCTGCGGTGATTTATTGTTTTTTATCCCAACAGAGACTCTGGTCAAGTTTTTCCTCTCTCCCATTTGATAGAAACAGTTGCTTATAGTGCCATCTGTTCCCAGTCAGTGTCTCTGAGTTTAGCTATGAGTGACTGAGAGCACGATCAAACCCCAGCCCCATATTAGATGGTGTGTAAGTCTTGACTTACTTAGGAATTTCCTAATTTGTTCCTGGATTTGACCCTCCAGAGTAAACTGTTATTCTCTAGGACCTACAACGATAGAAGCAAGGTGAAAGCAGCTGTCCTGGAAAGTTTGGAGCTGTGTTACTAGTTGTAGTGCAAGCCTCTTAAGGTCCCTGCCATGCCCAGTCTTGACCCAGTCATGGAGACAGAGGCTTAAACTATGTCTCTTTCTTTTTCAGCTTCCCTGACAGGATTCCTGGTGGCAGGTGAGTGAGTGGGGCATGAAACAACTTAATTCAGGAGTTTGGCTGTCTCACCGGTTTGTATTGAAGGAGATCCAGAGATAACATAATGTAGGCCAGTAGGTTAAATGCAGAACTTGGAGCTACAAGGTCTGAATTCAAACTTTTGCTCCATTGATGAATCTTCTTGTGGTGTTATCTGGTTAGTTCCTCTCTCTGTGCTTTCATGCTCCTTACCACCAAATTGGAAAGAGTAGCAGAAGTATTTATGAAGCTTAATTACTACATGTTTGAGACTCCGGAAAGGAAGGGGCTATGTTTATCTAAGGCATTAATAGGGTTACTCTGGGTGCATCTACATGTGCATTAATACACAGTAGTTACTGCATGTTAAGTTTAGTACCTGTAGCTTTTTAAAGCACACCTTCCCCCCAAGCATGTGTATAATTCAAGCTTGGGGGGGAAGGGGTGCTTTAATTAGAGTGGCTCTGAGAGCCGCTTTAATTAAAGTGCCCAGTGTGTCTTGTGCATCAGCATCCCCACACTTAAAAATGGTGGCTGGGGTGCTTTATCTAAAGCTCATTTGACAAGCTTTAGATAAAGCACCCCCACTGCCATTTTAAAGTGTGGGGACACTGATAATGAGACACAGGAGGCTGCTGGTGTGCGGCAATTGCCATGCTCCAGCAGATTTGATTAATCAAGTCTGCTCCTTCATGCTGGAACTTCAGCGCATCAGAGCAGCCTCCCTGCTCACGTATAGGCACCCTGTAATAACAGGTGGTAACTCAGTGCGCTGTAACTGGCACCACTAAGCAGTAGAGCCAGTGCACACTCTTTTAGTGATGCTAATGCACAGTAGACGATTTCTGCTGTGCATTAGCATGAGTTTGGCAATGACACGCTAATGCTCAATAGAATTTGTCTACTGCATGTTTAGCGTTTCTTGTAAAAACATCCTCTGTGTGCCAAAGCAAGGCACCTTTGCTGCCAGGTCCCTGCATAAAATCCCAGATCACAAAGTCTCTTCAAGGTTAATTCCTGTCCTGCAAAATGGGGTGACATTTTGTTTTTTGGCATCTCCTGAGAGAGTCAGCTCATGAGGTGTTAAGGTCCAACAAGACTTGCCTGTGGGGCCAGTGTGCACATCAGCAGTTTCTAATTCCTGAATAACTCCCCCAGGCCCTAAACCCATGACTGCATTGACACTAGTTGAACAGAAAGAAAGACAGTTAACTGGAGTCAGTCCAGCTAGGCAGTCAGTGACTGTACTGCCTGGAGGAGATCTGGCCTGTTAAGTGTTTTGCAGAAGCTATTCCGAGGAGCTGTGAAACAAAATGTCATTAGGGGAGCTGGCAAAAAGCAGAACCTTCTACCCCAGAAACACTTTCTCTAGTTGGGCCTTCTATTTCCAGGGAGTTACACTTCTGGTATAGTGTTGCACATAAAGGACTCTGACTCTGAACATTAGCTGAGATACCACACAGGCATCGCATGCCAATTTTTTGCACCCACTAGTCCCTACTGCATGAACTGTAGGAGCAGTTGTACTACTAGTGTGTTTTAGCTGCTATGGAATGTGCTGGAGGAAGATGCATCCACATCTTCAGGTACCATTCCAAACAGATGGCTCTGCGATGATAGAGTAGGACAAATGGTTTGGTGATAGCACTTGGACCAATGATGTCACTGCTCTAGCCGAGGGCCATGATGTATGGGACACTTGGTACATGTTAAATGTATTTAAAACACAAGCACCTGCATGTTCAAGCAGGAAAACATGAGATTAGTGCGTGCGAATCTTAGCAAGCCTTTGACTTCTCAAGCGAGGAGTGTCTCCAGATGGTATTAAGTAACACATGCTGAGCTAATACGACCTGCTCCATGGAGATAATATGAGCAATTTGTGATCCTCCAGCATCCCAGGATGCACTGCTCCCAGTCCCTCCACTCCCACTCCAAGGGCTGTTCCACTTGTCTGAACTCTGCTGTTCAGGGGATAGTACCAACCCCAAGACAACACTCCCATCTGCCCCTGAGGGTGTGACCCCAGCCCACATGGCATTACCCTTTGAAAGCTACATGGTTCATTGAGGCCTGCCACCTCTGCTTGAGCGCTCCAGTGCAAACAGTGATCACCTAGCTTCATGAACTGGACCAAACCAGAGAAAGTCTTCCTCAGATCCCTGGACGTGGGTCTTGAACTGGACCTTATTGCAACCTGGGGCAAGGAGAGAACCATTGCCACCACCAGCAAAGGCACCTGACAACACCTGGCAGTTTTTGAGTGCATTGTTGCCCAGGTGGTAACTAAGATTAAGTGCCTCAACCTGCAGTATGCTTGGGGCAGGGATGCCAACAAGGTCTGGGGTGCTGCAAGGTCTGTGGCCCCCTAGCTCAAGGAGCTATCAAAGATCCTTGAGGAGAATCAGGTCATTGTTCCCTGTCACACTGTGCAGTGCACAGCCACAGGCCTTATGTGTCATACTGATGACAATGAAAACAATGGTAGAGTCACCTCACCGCTGCTTGCTACTAAAATGGCCATGGCCCTAACCTTGGCCGTGACTCAGACTGAGACGCACACAAGATGAGGACAACTTGGACGAGATTCTCGTCGAGCAGGTGAACATGGACAAGCCAGTATCAGCTGCTGGTAAGTTTCAGCAACACTGGGGGAAGAGTGGGGTGGGCTCAGGGCTTGGGAGCAACTCGGAGCTCGTTCTGAGGGGGGCATGGTGAAGTGCCTATGTGTTGGGAGGGGGGGCACTTAGTGCATATTGGTCTCTGCCCCTCTGCCCCTGTGATTCACCAGAAAGGAGGGGACATTGTGTTATGTACAATGCAGAGCCTTGGGGGTGACTCAGGGCTCACTCTGGGGTGCTGAAGGGCTTGGTGAATTACCTAGGTCCAGGGGGGATCCTAGGAGGTGTGCTTGAGCCCCTTCCAGGCTGGGCTTGCTACAGGCACAATCTATGTTGCAATCAGCAGATTGCCCTGTAGCAAGCTCAGCCTGGAAGGGGCTCAAGCACACCTCTTTGTGGTGGGCTGACCCTGTGTCCTCCGCAAACTCTAGGGTTTTCTCCCTCTCTCACTTGCTGTGTGTTGCTGGAATTTAAATGTTGCAGAAGGCCGCTTGTAAATCCTCTGAGTAGGAAAAGTGGATCTGGCTTCCTGAGACACTAGTGAAATTCTTAGCTTAGTTCATTTGCCCAACCCAGTCTCTGTTCCTCTTTCTCTCTCTGGCTATCTTGGCCTCTGTGTGTTCTGTACCTCAGGCCCCTGACAGAGCTTGAAGTAAAGGTGTGATGGGATCTGATGTGGGACCCCAACAACCGGGCTTCTGCCTGGCCACATGTGCATGGGAGGAGGTGCAATTGTGGGATCCCACATCAGATCCTATTGAGTCAGATTTCTGGTGCCAGTGGAGCCTGATCCTGGGCTCCCATTGGCTCCCAGCCAGGGGGATGCACCAGGTTCTCCTGCAGCTGGGAGTCCCATCAGCTGACTGGTGTTTCCAGCCATGGGGGTGCACCATGCACTCCCAGAGCTGGGAGCTCAGGTCAGATGACTGTACTTCCCAACCAGGGGAGCCATGCACTGCCCCCGCTAGGAACTCTGATCAGCTTTAGGGGCTCCCAGCCCCTGGGGCGCACAGGAGTGCTGAAGGGCTCCTGTATGCTCCAAAGGCTAAGCACTGGCCACACATTCAATTAAAGGTGACTGGTTCCTATTGCACAAGTCATTACACATAGTTTATGTAATAACTTTGTGGCATTTTCCTTCTTCTATCGTGCCATTATTTGATTGAACATGGCCATGTTACTGCTTAAGATGTGATTAACTAGTTAATCACATCTTAAGTATAATGTCTGTCAGGAGCTCCAGACAGATAAAAGGACAGATTGCCACAGATGAGGGAAGACTCCTCAGAAGACGCATCTGGGATGGTCAGAGGAGTGCATGAATGGAAGAGGTGGAGCTCAGGGGATATAAACTAAGGATCCTGGCCCTGCCTCCTGAAGGAAAGGAGCTCCTTCTAACATGAGCAGCCACAGACCAGTCCTCTGATCATGAACAGAAAAGCCAGCAAAGCCCCATCGACTAAAAATGCCTACAACCCTAATCTAGGTGTGGTAGTAAATGGAAATGCCAGCAAGCTGCTGCCAAGTAAACATGTTTAAACTTCCCATTTGGGTCCTTATTCTGGTGCAAAGACATTGTTCCAAACCACTGGCCCCCTCCCAGCCTTTAAGATACATGCCTCAGCCTGCAGCTTCTCCCTTGCAGCCTGCTAGCTGAAGATCTTGTCCTCCCAGAGGTCTCAGCCCCTTTCCCGTTACGGTCTTGGGCCCCAGAGTTTATATCCCTGGCTTCCACCCCTTCCAGTCAGGTACCATCCTGAGCAGCTAGGCGAGTGCTTCCTTGGCTCCCTGAGCAGCCTGCTTTCATTTGTTGCCACTTGCCTGGCTGAGCTACATTAGCTTCCCTGCTACTTGCCCAGAGTTCTGCCCTACTGTCCTACTGCCATGCAGCTAGCTCACCTGGAGTAACTAGCAACCCCGTAGTCCCTATGTTTAGTTCCTCCTTGCTGCTTTTCCCCCTGTACCTCCCGTTACTCTACTCTCTGTACCTGGGAGCAAGCCTGACCCTGCTGCCCCTTTCCCTTAAAATAACAGGAACTCTTGTTCCCCATTACAGCCCCTCACCCCTGGGATTCACCAGAATGGAAGGGCATTGTGTTCTGCACAATGCAGAAGACAGGCCAACTGGTGGCAAACCCATGCTTGAACCACGGCAATTGTGATATGCCAATGGCCCAGTTAAGGCTTAATGACCTAGTTAATGTGCTCAATGGCTGGGCCAGTAAGAGTTAATTCTAGTTAAGGCATGCAAAGCTGTCATAGGAAACTGGATCCTCCTGCCCCACCCCAGACACTGCCTAGCAGTGGCAGCTCACAGACCATGCCCCACCCCCTCAGACCACCCCCTCTCCTGCCCATCCCCCTGTCCACATGTCTGGTGTGCACTGGAGAACTTTGGTGGGTTTGGGTGGGGCGTGGGGTTACCTCCACTCTGCTCAGTCGCTACCAGTTAATGCCAGTTGAGTTCCTTGTGCCAGTAGTTAGGGACAGGCTCAGCAGAACTTCCCACCTGGGCTTGGTAGAGTTCCCATCCACACAACCGTGGTTCTACTTCCTGGCCCAGCTGCTCAGGACAGAAGCACACAAAGGCTTTTATTTCTGTGCATCTGAGCATAAGCAGAGAGGTGGCTGAGGGGTAAAGCCTAGAGCTGTGCGAAGCTTCGGATACTAATTCAATTTGGAGGAGATTCAGCCCGATTTGGCAGCCGAATCTCCGAATCTCAATCGAATCAGGAGACCAATAAAAAGATCCAAATTGATTCAAAGCTCTCCAAATCGATTCAGAAAAGATTCAGAGGGCTTCGGAGATTTGGGCAGTCCTCACCCACTGCCGAAGGGAGATGGACCCGGACTCCGTGCCGGTAAGTAAGGGGCGGCGGGTGCTGGAGGAGAGGAGAGTGGACGCTGGGGGGACCCCTGCCCGGCCCCATCCCCTGCCTGTTCCCCCAGCCCACCAAGCCCCCCCAGGCCCCTGCCCACTCTCCCAGCCGCATCAATGGCTGCCCAACCCGGCTCCAGCCTCCCAGCTCTTTAAAATAAAAGCTCTGCACTCACCAACTCCTGCCAGGGAGGGGGGCGATCCCTACTGCCCCCTACTGCCCTGCACTGCATGGGGGGCTCTGCCATGAGCCGCCATTTCCCACCCACTCTCTCAGCCCCCCCGCCTCCCATGGTTGCCCCACCCAGCCCCAGTTCTTTAAAAATAAAGAAGTTTAAAAGCCCCACACTCGCCAGCTGCTGCAGCAGTCATCGGGGCTTCTGGGGGCTCATGGCAGAGCCCTCCATGCAGCACAGGACAGTGGGGGGCAGCAGGGATTGCCCCCCTTCCTGGCAGCAAGCAGTGAGTGCCGGGCTTTTTTCATTTTTTTTAAAGAGCTGGGATTGTGGGGCCAGGCAGGGCAGCCATTGATGGGGCTGGGAAAGCAGGCAGGGAATGGGGCCTGTTCAATTCAAAGATTTGGCTGAATCGATTTGAGACAGTGATTCGAATCACCGAATCAAATCACTGTCCACCAAATTGACTGAATCCGAAACCAAAGCAAATACTAGCTGCTTCGCACAGGTCCAGTAAAGCCCCAAGAGGGGGAGAGATGTAGAAGAGAGACGCTGAAGGCCATGCTGCTCTGTGTCCCTGCTCCCAACCAGCAATAATCCCATAACGCTCTTCTGTGAGGCCAGGCATGGATTGTTGTAGGCCTCACAGAGAAACATGGGAATGGTGTCATTGTTCAGGTCCTGGCACCGTAGCAGCCATTTTGGGTGGCAGCAAGAGCTGTCATCTTTACTGCTACTCGCAGCGCACGGTGACTGTAGATTTAGAGTATTCTGGCATGGCACAGGTTGGGGCATCATTCTTCAGGGAAGAGCTGGCGAGGGAAAATCATAGAATCCTAGAGAAGTAGGGCTGAAAGGGACCTCCAGAGGTCATCTAGTGTATAACCCCATGCCTGAGGCAGGTTCATCCCTATCCAAACCATCCCAAGGGCGAAGCAGTCCTAGTTGAGGATGTGATTGACTGTTGCTTTCACTGCTAGGAGGTGTGACAGAACTATGAAGCTATAACACAGGTGCAGGAAGGTTTCTGGAGCCCCATGTATGTTCCATGAAATCTCCACTTTTCCCAGGGACCCATCACATGTGGCTCTTCCCTTCCAGGATTCCAGAACAGGTGCTGGCATGAGAGTTTTCAGAAGGAGCAGGGCATATCTTATGGGGTTGCCACCTGCAAGATCAAATGCCTCCTCCCTGCACTGCCAGGACACACTTGCCAGGGAGATATTGGCCATAGAAGCAGTGTCCTGAGACAGGGGCAGATAGAAAAGTTGTGACTGAAGGGAGAGGGAGTGCCTTCCTACCCTAATGGGAACCTCCACGGAGGGAAGGGGCAGGGGGAACTGAGAGAGTGCTCACCATCCTGTGGTCCTGTTTTGTCTGCCCGTGGAGAGTTAGTGTGCTATGAAAGCAAGGAAGGTACTCAGGCACTAGTTCCAGGAACTGGTAGCCCTGAGTTGCAAAAGTCTTGAACTTTGTAACAGTTACACGTTTGCTTTGGTGTCAACCCACTGTTGCCTGTGCATCTACAGGGGATGTCTGGGAATCCAGAGCAGACACATTATCTGCTAACTGGCAACACGCTCAAGGCCCATTGCACTGTGTTTGTTTCTCAGAGTTACCTTTGCCCTCTGAAAGCTTGTGAGGCTCCAGCACTCTGGGGCACTCATGCTCAGAGGCTGGCCTTTAGCCAAAATTGTTGGTGGGACCAGCAATATCAGAGATGCTGGAGTATCCTGTGCATGCTGAGCCAACACTCCTGACAGGTGGCTTGCTGGCCTGTGAGTGCCAGCAGGACTGGCTGGAGGACCTGTCAAAAACTCTTTAGGACATTTTTGCAATTCAGGACCCTCAGTTCTTGGAACCCGTGAGGGGCTCAGAGGTCCTCCAGGCCCTCTAGTCTGTCACAGGGTCACACAAATCCTTCCTGGAGATGGTGGCTGTTGCTGGAGAGAAGTATATCCATGTCATGATTGTGAGTCAGCAGCCACCTGCAGCAACTTACCACCACCCCCCACACACACCTGACTAGAGGCAATGGCCCCAGCCTTTGCCTCTGAAATGAGCCCTGTACGGTTTATGTAATCCAAGGCATGAGAGGGAGGCATAGAATTGGTATGTGGGTCCCATCAGTGATCCTCATGCAGTTTGGAGAGCCCATCATCTGTTCAAACCCAGCAAAGATCTCCTGCAGTTCCCTGAGCTGGATGAACCAAGGCCCCAGCTCCTCCAATATGGAGTCACACACTTAGTGCATGTCTTCATTGCTGTTATTTGACATGAGATGGATTGGTTGCTGATGGAAGGGAGGAATGGACCATGGGATATCCTAAAGTTCCACCACCACTGCTAGTCATTCCAGGTTGTGAGCAAGAAGTGCTCCCACCAGCCATTATTTTGTGCTTCCTGCAAGCAGGCCAGCATGATGCCCAGGGCGTCATCACGATCCTCAAAGTAGTGCCTTGCCTGGGACAGGACCTCTTGTCACTGAAGCAAGGGATTCCTGTGCAACAGGGCAAGGATTTCCTCGGTTCCACCACTTGCTATATGCAGGAAGCTGATGGAGAGCTGATCCATGCTGGACCAGCCAGTCAAGGAGGGAATGGAGACTGGAATTCATGGGCTCACCTCAGCAAGAAGGTCAACCTTGACCTGCACCTGGCTGTTTTCAGCAGCTGTCAGAAATATGGGCAAAAGTCTGGCATGCTGGGAGGCCTGCTCAGCAGCCCTCTAGCAGGGGAATGCGAGCTGTGCATGTAGGGTTCCCCATAAGCATCACATCCCATTAACATTCCACAGATTTAACATGTACCAAGTGTAGTGCCATAAGGCTGTGTTAGTGCTTGCTGGCCTGAAGCACTATTCCTGGGCATCATGCGGACATGCAAGATCCATCTTTCTCTTATGCAGAAGAGCAAATCTCTGCCCAGTCCTACACGAAAGGGAAATTTGGCCTCCGTAGTCTCCTGGAGGGCAGGGTGCAGGCCAGAAACTAGGAGGAGGCTTTGAGGACAGAAGCTGAAGTTGCATTTTAAAGGTGGGATAATTAGTTTTGCATTAATCCTTTGTTCGTGCTCATTGCTCAAGAGAGAGACAAAGTGTCTGTCAGCTGTTCCCAACCAATAAGGCCAGGGAACAGAATAGGGCGCCTCTCTGAAACCTCGGGATCAGGTGCTGGCCCTGAGTGCAAAGCCCCTGGTTGGTGATTCTGGATTTTCCGTGGGATAATTAACTGCCCCTGCGGATACTGCTAGATGTAACAAGTATAGCCATATGAAATGATGGTGACATATTAGCTTATGATAGAACTGTAACAGCTACATGCTCCTCTAGAAATAGGGATGCAGCAAAACCTTAGTCATTCAGGATTAAAGTTACAGTGATCTAGCGCACTTGTCCTGCTAGAGGAGCGTGCGTGCAGAAGCAACAGTGAGTTTCTAACTGCTGATACGTGCTACAATTAAATAATTACAATGACATTGCTCGTAAGCACCAACTTCCCTTGTGTCTTTAAAGAGGTTTCAAGTTGCATCTCCCAATTGCCACAGAGAGATTTTACATTTCATTGCCCTTGGACAAATTTCAGGTAATCTTGAGCTGCGGCTGGTGAATGGCCCTGATCGCTGCACTGGCCGGCTGGAGGTGCTTCATGACAACATCTGGGGCACTGTGTGTGATGATGGCTGGGATTTAGCTGAAGCCCAAGTCGTGTGCAAAGAGCTGCACTGTGGCATGGCACTATCAGCCTCTGGTGGGGCTCGGTATGGACGTGGTTCCGACCCCATCTGGCTGGATGAGGTGAACTGCACTGGGACAGAAGCTGCCCTCTTTAAATGCAAGGCCAGTCCTTGGGGAAAGAATAACTGTAATCATGGAGAAGATGCTGGTGTGGTGTGCTCAGGTAGTCCCTATTCATGTCATATCCTATATAGCACTAGCAGGGGTTGGGCTATCAGGAGGTATCTTGTTGATTCTACAAAAGTCACGCTTCCCTCAAGTCACCACTAGCCCCACTGTGTCAACACAGAGCCAGACGGCAGAACATTGCAGGGAGGAAGCAAGGTTATTCAGTAGCAGCTTTCTCTGCTCAGCCATTGCTGTCCCCAAATCGGGACAGTATGATGCTAGAAAAGCTGCGTGGGCCCCAGGTTGTGTGGAGCAGAAAGAGCAGTCTGAGATGAGCGAGTGCTTCTGATTCTCATGACTCCCTACAGCACAATGGGTACAGTGGAACAACAGATCTCAGTACCTGATTTTGTGGCAAATGAGGCCTGCATCTTCTTACAGAGGCTAGGCACTTGGGCGTACCTTGTCTGCTGCCACACTCTGAACACCAAATTGTTTCAGGTGATTTGCAATTTCTGTAATGAGCTGTTAAACCTCTAATATTTCCCCTGTAGGTTTGACAAGGTTCGACATCCTCCCGCACTTCTTGTCATAAACAGCTAGAACATCATTCCCTATCTTGTTTCTCAGCTACCTTTTCTCACCACAAAGGTGGCTGCACGTCTTTGGGCATAAGCAAGTTCCTGCCAGGCATTTGCTGATTATAAAAGCCGTTTAGACTCATCAGCGGGAAGGGCTACATTCTCCTGTGTTACAAGTGAAGAGTTGTACAGGAATTTCCTTAAGCATGTATCCCCTTGGGGTGTCCACAGGTTTGCCTCTTTCAAATGTGACTGAGCTTCGACTGGTGAATGGCCCCAGTCCCTGCGCTGGGAGAGTTGAGGTGCTTCATGACGAGCAGTGGGGAACTGTGTGCAATCGCAGCTGGGATTTAAGTGATGCTGAAGTTGTGTGTAGAGAACTCGGCTGTGGGAAAGTGTTATCAATCCCAGCTGGGTCCCAGTATGGAGAAGGATCAGACCATATTTGGCTAGATAGTGTTAACTGCACTGGAGGAGAAGCTGCCCTATCTGAATGCGGGTCCAAGCGTTGGGGAGACAATAGCTGTAGTCATGGAGAAGATGCCAGCGTGGCGTGCTCAGGTAACTCATTCATATTTCATTCTCTATGGTGTTGGATCGGCACTGTCTTCCTTAGGCTTCAGCAAAACCTTGGCTCAGCGTGGTCTCTGCTTCTGCCAAGCTTTCCTCCCCCCTTCACCTTGCCCTTCTCCTTAGCTTAGAAAGGTCTCAGTTTCTAACCAGGTTTCCCCCTTCCCTCTCTCTTTATGGAAAATGATCAGGCTTAACTGGCCTGCAAAAAAATATAATAAGCAAGGAGCTTCACGGCCCTTGCAGATCATCCCTGGCCAATGATAAATCAAGTGAATCACCTTCCAGGAAGGCAGCAAGGTTTGACAGCAAGAAGGGGACAGCTCATTGATGCACATATCAAAGTAGTAAAATAGGTATGGGCTTCATACCTATGCATGCATACTTGCATAGGATTCTGTGATGATTTGGTTTGCTCCCTGAGACCTGGTGAAGGGCAATTTGTGCCCAAAAGCTTGTCTAATTTCTCTCCCAACTATACAGTTGATCCAATAAAAGGTATCACAAGGGAACCCTTGTCTCTTGTAGTTTTCTTATGTGATCATTAAAATCAGAGAGCCAATCAAGACCACCTACCAGAAGTAAGAGTTGGGGGTGGATTGAAAGATACTCCCTCACTTATATAGGCACTAACAAAGACTGCAAATGCTACTGACACTTCCTCATCTCAGGCAAATGTGGACTACATACTAAAGATAATGCCCAAAACGGCTCTAACATCCTTCAACTATGTATTAATGTGGTTACCAGGCATGGGGCCTGGTCTCTCTCATAACCATACCATCTTGTGCAAAAACTTGTAATTATTTTACCCCAGGCAAATGCAGACCACATGCTTCACAAAACCACTGAGGCTGCCCTAACATCCTGTAACTATGTACTATTGTGGTTACCATGCCTGGGATCCAGCTTCTCCCAGAACTCCAACATAACATGTAAAGATTTTAATTTTAACATTTTCTTAATAATTAATGATGAGATGCACAGGAATCTGAGTATTTATATCCTTGAGCGTTTATATGATTATACTTTACAGAGCCAACCGAGATTCAGCTGGTGAATGGCCCGAGTCGCTGTGCTGGAAGAGTTGAAGTGCATCATAATCATCAGTGGGGAACTGTGTGTGATCATAACTGGGACTTGAATGATGCTGAAGTTGTGTGCAGGCAGCTGGGCTGTGGGACGGCAGAGTTTGCCCCAAAGGCAGCTTACTTTGGGCAATCATCCAATCCCATCTGGCTGGATGGGGTGAACTGCATGGGAACAGAGGCTGCTCTCTCTGAATGCAGCATCAAGCTTTGGGGAAACCATAGCTGCTACGATGGAGAAGAGGCCGGTGTTGTATGTTCAGGTAATCCTCGTCCATGCCAAATGGCACATGACACCTGTAGGCGCTGTTCTACATTTGAGCAGGTTCTCAGATTGTTAGTGAAAAATGCTAAGACACATGGTGTAGCAGGCAACTTACAGGAAGAGTTCTTGATTTGCTGCTTACTAAGTGGAAAGAAATGGTTGAGAGTGTGTAGGTGGAAGGCAACCTGGGTAACAGTGACCAGGAAAAGGCAGAGTACATGATCTTAAGCAAAGGAAGAAAGGGGAACAGCAGAATAAAAACATTAGGCTTCAGAGATGGAGACTTTACAAACTCAGAGAACAGGTAAGCAGAATCTCTTGGGAAATGAGGTTAAGGGAAAAGGGAATCCAGAAGAACAAGATATTCCTTAAAGTTGCATTTCCCAACTGGTGTGGCGTGGCATTTTGGGCTGGAGCCACACACAGATAGACAGGGAGCATGGCTCCAGCCAGGCAGGGGGCATGGATTCAGCCCAAAATATCATCCAGCTGGCTGCACGCCCTCCCATCCCTGTCGGTGTCAGGCTGGCCACGCACCAACCCCCACCCCCGCTCCACGTCCCGTGTGCTGCAGTGCTTTTTTATTTCAGTAAGGGTGCCATGGGGCAAAAAAGGGTTGGGAAATGCTGCCTTAAAGCAACAGTATTATGGGCAGAGGAGGATGCTATCATAATGAGAAGGAAGGATAGGAAACATAGCAAGAGATGGTCTTGAGTAAGCTGTGAGCTCTTCATTGACTTAAATTTTAAGAAGGAATCTGAGAGCATATCCAACTATGCAGCCATGTGTAGTTTGTGGCATGGCAAACCTCTTTGCTGTGCCACAAACCACATGCCCAGGACATTAGAAAGGGCTACATTTGCTACCGGGAAATCCCAGCAGCAAAAAAACAGTGCAAAGAAAAAAACCAAAACGGTGCAGCACATGCAACAGGAGCGCGTGCCAGCAGGCATGGGAGCTTGGTCTTCCCAGGAGATGCTCTGGCTGCTGGCCAGAACATCTCCACTCCTTTAGCTGTGTCCCTGCTCCTCCAGCATGCCAGTAGCTGGGAGAAGCGGGAAAAGGGCAGCTTGCTAGAAGTGGGGTCATTTGCCTCATGCCAAAGTGCATGTGCAGGGGTGTGCACAGGGGCAAAAAGTAGCTACAAAGATTTGTACTGCTACTGTTTTTGCTGCTGCAAGTGCACACCCCTGCATGTGGGGATGTACCCTTAAAGTGGAAACTAGGCTATATTGCTAAGGCTGGGTATAAGAATATAGCATGGGCATGTAGGGAGGAAACCAGTAAGGCCAAGGCACAAATTGAGAGAAATCCTGCAAGGGTTGTAAAAAGCAGCAAAAGCCTTGGGCACTGAATAAGAGAGAGACTGAGAGAAGTGTAGGTACCTTATTGAAGGGGGAGATGCTAATAATGGACAATACGGAGAAAGCTAAACAATGTAAAGGACTTCAGCATTCACAAAAAAGGCCTCCATCAGATGATGAGCACAATTATCATCAAGGAAGCGATGAGTGTGGTGTCCCAGCCTATAATAGAGGTTACGTACACAGACTTGATGTTTCCAAATCAGCAGGGCGTCCTAGGGTAGGGGTGTGAAACTCCCATTATGTCCTGGGCCAGATCCAGACTGCAGGGCTCCTCACAGGCCAGATCTAGCACAGAGCACAGGGCAGCTGTGGTGGTGCCAGTGCTTGTGGTGGAGTGGTGGGGACGGTGATGGCTGCTATGGGGACAGCATGGCTAGTGACAGCCGCAGAGGGCTAGTGGGATGGTAGCAACTATGGCAGGGTTGGTGGTGGGAGCAGTAGGACAAGCAACCACAACCACCTGCCATCAAGGCCCATATCCATCGGGGTCTGGAGGCCATGGATTTTGTGGCAGGCCCCTTCCACCACTAGCCATGCTTCCAACTTCCCCAGACAGCCAGTAGCCAGATGAAGTGGTTGTGTGGGCTGGATCCAGCCCACAGGCCATGTTTGACAACCCTTCTCTAGAGTATTCAGGGAATTAGCAGAAGCAATTATTGAGCCATTAGCTGTTATACTGGAAAATCCATTGAGAGCTATCAGAATCCTGGCAAAGGGTAAATCTAGTTCCCATCTTTAAAGAGGGACGACCCAGGGAATTACAACCCAGTCAGTTTAATTTTGGTTCCTGAAAATATACTGAAGCATATACTTAAGCAATCATTTTAGAAGCATCTTGAGGATATCAAGGTGAAAAGGACCAGGCAACAATGTGTTTTCAAGGGCTAATCATACCTAACCACTCTGGTTCCCCTCTATGACAATGAGCTGGGTCTTGAGATTGGGGGATGGGCAGGGGAGAGAGGATCGATGTAACTTGTCCACATAAGTAGACTGAGGAAAAATGGATTATATGTTGTTACTGTAGGGAGGGTACATAACTTACTGTATAATTGTGCTCAAAGATAATTATCTTTGTCAGCTTTAGTTCAGTGTCTAACTGAGACTGTGTATCAAGGTGGACTCCCAGGAAATCTGTCTTGAGTCTGGTACTGTTCAGTATATTCATTAATGATTTGGAGTATGGAACTGAGTACTCATCTAGTAAATTTGTGGCTGATACCAAGGTGGATGGGGTAGCAGGTAAGACAAGAATTCAAAATGGTCTTGATACATAGAAAAATTGTCTGAAGTGTAAAGCAAATGAAATTAAATCAGGAGAAGTTCAAAATTCTACTCTTAGGCAGGAATGAGGGAATGCATAAAACAAGGGTGACTATGCTGTAGTATTGGAGAAAAGACCCTGGCGGTTGTAATGATCTGCAAGCTGAATATGAGTCAACAGGGTAATTTTGCTTGTTTCTCTGGCTCCTGCTCACTCAGAGTTGAGCAAGAGCAGTATATGCTCACAGAGGGTCTTCCTTTTCAAACCTGGTTGTGCTGCAACTGGTTGGAGCAGCAGAGCAGTATTAAATATGTATACAGTGAGTGTCTTCCAGGTTTGGCAGCTTTGGTTTTTGGAAGCCTCCCTCCTGCCCTGGGGGTTTCTAGCTACAAGTTTCAGTGGAGGTCTGCTCTCTCTCCATTGCTCTCCCTACATTGGCTCTGAGCATAAGGAACAATCTCCATGATAACCAGCTGGTATGCAGGCTGTTAGATGAAGAAATCCCTGGTAACACAGATTTCTTTCTTTCTTTTTTTTTTTCAAAAATACATTTCTAGACAGACAGTAGATAAACAATACAGCCTTTCCTGTCTTTGAGCACGTACACCAGCCCATGGAGCTGCAGGGTTTAGCTTCTGCTTGTGCCCCTGCCAGTGCCTATGTTGCAGCTGGGCAGGAAGAAGCTGCATCACAGCAGGAAGCTGGAAACTGTTCCCTGTACTGGTGTCCCTGTCTCTTCTCCTCACTCCCTGCCTCCTCACTTCCCCTCCTCCCACCACTCCCTGGCTGTGGTGCAAGCACAGCTTTGAGCCAGAGCAGGACTGCGCTGAGGCTGGGCTGGATAATAGAGGGGCAGGAGTGGGGAGAAGGGCAGAGCAGTGTGGAAGCAACTTTCAGTTCCATGGCCCAGATCAGCTCCTCTGTGGGGCTGAGCTCTCCCCACAGCTGAGGAGCAAGGGGCTGAGAAGCAGCAGTGCCACAGGTGCTGCAGGTCTTTGAGAGGTGCAGGAAAAGCACCCCGCTCTGTGCCCTCCTCCCCACTGCCCCTGTGCTGCCAAAGCCAACAGACCTGCACCAGACCGGAGCCAGGTTGTTCTGGTTGGCAGCTTGGAAAAAGGTTGCTGGCCACTGCGTGTTCATGACCATGTATTTTGCTTGTATCTTTCCCTGTTTCAGAGCCACCTCCACTCCGGCTGGTGAATGGCTCGAGCCGCTGTGCTGGCAGAGTGGAAGTGCTCCATGACCAGCAGTGGGGAAGCGTGTGCGACAATGGCTGGGATACAGAGGACGCCACAGTGGTGTGCAGGCAGCTGGGCTGTGGGACGGTGGTATCAGCCCCAGGCTCGGCTTGGTTTGGGCGGGGACATGACCCCATCTGGCTGGAAAACGTGAATTGTACAGGAATGGAGGCTGCCCTGCCTGAATGCAGAGCTAAGCCCTGGGGAGACCATGACTGTCACCACGGAGAGGATGCTGGAGTTGTGTGCCTAGGTAACCCTCATCCACATCGCATCCTGCATAGGGGAATGTGGGGCTATGCAGCGAAGGTGTGCCTGAGTCAGAAGCGGCGATGTTCTACCTTGTCTCAGTGTCCTGACAGTAGTGAGAGTCTGTGCTGCACAGGATGGGAGACTAGTCCAGCATGGGGCTGCGTCCACACAGTCAATCATTTCCTGTAACAAAATGCTTGTTCCAGGGGGTAGCCGCAATGCCCCTTGGTGGGTGCTCAGCCGTAGCTTGGTCCGCCCTTCTCCCCTTTGCTTGCCTTGGTGTTCCAGTCCTGAGTGAAGGGAGGCTATCCCAGGGCTTTCCATGCCTGGTCTCACCCACTGAGTTGTGTACTAATTATGTGTCTTGGGATACCCGTATATGCTTGTCAGGACTCAGCCTTTCTGGCTTTGACCCCCTTGTCTCTTGACTAGATCCTGTAGCCAGTGCCCACTGCACCAGACCTGGCTTCTGGGTCCCAGCCCTCCACAGGTCTTGTCTGCCCTGCTCTGGGCTCCGGGCTCCCTGGCCTCACACTCTGCCCTGCTTTGGGTTTGCTGCTCCCTCAGAATGCCCTGAGCCTGCCCCTAGCAGGGCTTAAGATGAGTATGTACCCCTAGGGCACTGATGGGACCTCCAAAGACCACCTCTCACAGTCCCAAACCCAAGCCACCAGTATGGAACTTTAAAAAGGACACCCCCCCAGTCCTCGCCTTTTGGCTTAGGCAAACAAACCCTCAGGACAGCCCTCCCTAGGTGGTCCCGATGCAGCTCAGCAGTCTATCCAGCACTCCCTTGTAGCTTTCCTGGCTGGGGGTTCCTTGCTCGCAGCTTGCAGGACTAGAAGGGCCTGCTCCAACTCAGGGTTGGTGTTTACATGGCCCTTCTCCATGAGGGTCACCTGCCTCTTACAGCTGCCACAGGTGGTTTCTGATTTGGTTGGGTGGGGCAGCCACATAGAGGCCCCTTGCTTGCATAGAGGGACTTGGGGTGTTTCTATGCAAGCCCCCAGCCCCTGATGTTGCTGTTGCTGCCGGCTCTGTAGCAAGTGTTTAAGTCTTTTCATTATTTAATTCTGTACTTGGGGCCTTGTCTGGCCAGCAGGCCACGGGGATTTCTCATCTTCCTCTGTAATGAGGCAAGGGCCCCGTTAGACTCCCCCATAAACCGTGCAGAGCCACCAGAAGGCCCTCAGCCTGGGATGACCCTTTGGCAGCAGAGTGCACTGTGTATGGGGCAGAGGTTCTGAGGAAGCGAGAGGTGCTGCTCTGTTGAGACCCACCCATCCCTTAGACTTACAATGGGTAACTGTACAGTGAGCAAGCCACTGGGCAACCTTGATATCCAGCCAAGCCTAGACCTCTTTGTGGGGCCTGGAAACCCATAGTCACTTGGCTTAGTGATAAGCCCTCAGCCTGGTCATTCCAGATGACTCACAGCCTTCAATGCATTCAGTGTGGAGAAGTTGTTAATTTGGGCCCTCTACTAATATCTGTGCCTGTCACATTGTACATGGGTCTAGGTGGCATTTTGCTCTGCCGTATTACTAGTGATGAGATGCAGTGGAGTTTCTCTAAGAGCATGCCTCTACTTGTGCTGATTGTATTTTTCTGCATTTCAGGGCCAACGGATCTCCGTCTTGTGGGTGGCTATAGTCGCTGCTCTGGGAGAGTTGAAGTGCTTCATAATCAGCAGTGGGGAACTGTTTGTAATAACATGTGGGATTTAATGGATGCTGAAGTCGTGTGCAGGCAGGTAGGATGTGGGACACCACTAGCAGCTCGCTTCGGAGAGCCCGTTGAAAAAGAACCTGGCCCTGTGTGGCTGGATGAAGTTAAGTGCACGGGGACAGAAGCTGCCCTCTCTGGCTGCAGTGCCAAGCACTGGGGAGTCGACTACTGTCACTATGAACATGCTGGTGTGTTGTGCTCAGGTAATCCATACTCATGTGGTATTCTAGGATCTGTGCTGTGGGGAGCAATGTTATTGGTCCTGTAGGAGGCTCTCTTCCTAGCGAGTCCATGCTGACCCCAGTGACCAAGAGAACCAGAAGGCCTGTGCTGTATGGAAGTGTGTAGAGTCTGGTGTTGGTTATATTCCTTCTCCATTCAAATATCGGTGGTGTGGCCTGATGTTAAGAGGTTCTATGCTGCAGGGGGTGCAGTGAGTGGGAGAAGAGGGAGAAGATCTCTCCTTTCTGCCAGCTTGGATCATAAGTGGCGAGTGAAGAAAATGGGGGTCTCTGTACTGTAGGCACTGGTTTGGGATCCGCACAGGGGAATCATGGGGGGCATTCGAGGTCACTGTGCTGCACGGAGTGAAATAAGTAACACAGTAGAAGGGACTCAACTCAATCAGTCCCTGGTGACCCCAGCACCCTGCTATGTTCCTAGAGGACGCTGCGCGTGTGGATCTGGGCCTGTGGAGCAGAAAGAATACTTTTTCCATCTTAGTCCCTACTGAGCCTCCTGTCCCATTGCATCCCAGTTCAGTCCTAGAAATTCATAGTTCCCTGTACAATATTTAGAATTGGGCTGAACCTGAAAATGTTAATAGGGACTAGAAACCCCAGGGAACTTGCTTAAGAATGGGGCTCTTGAAGCTGGCATTTGGATACATTTTTGTCAGGCCTTGCATCTTTTAACAGTTTAACCATGGACTAGATACCAGCCTCGAGTGCTGAGGTCATCATTCGCCTTGTCACATTCCACATGTCAGCAGCTTCATCAGTGGGAAGTACTTCATTTCCATATCACCAGGGATAAGAAGCACAGGAACCTCTCTGAACATCCGTCTCATTGATGGTTTGTATCTTGCCCTGTCTCAGAGCCTACTGAGGTCCGGCTGGTGGACGGCCCCAGTCGCTGTGCTGGCAGAGTGGAGGTGCTTCATAAGGAGCGGTGGGGAAGCGTGTGTGATGATGGCTGGGACTTTCAGGATGCCAAAGTGGTGTGCCGGCAGCTGGGCTGTGGGATGCCTTTATCAGCCCCAGGCAAGGCTCACTATAGACAAGGCCGTGAACCCACTTGGTTGGATGATGTGAACTGCACTGGGACAGAAAATACCCTCTATGACTGCAAGGCCAGGCCGTGGGGTGAGAATAACTGTAACCACAGAGAAGACGCCAGTGTGATTTGCTCAGGTACTCCTCCTTTATGTCACATCCTGCATGATGCTAAGGGGAGCTGTGCTGCATGGCAATGGCAGTGATTGTGTAGGGAGCTGCCAATTCCATTGAACAGTGGTGTTTCTCCTGATGATGTATGTGGGGGGAAGAGTGAGTGGAAACTGTCTTTTGAGTCAGTGCAAACCCCCTGGCCATTCCACTGTATTGCAAAGAGCAATGCACTCAAAGGATGGATGTGGGAGAAGTGGATGGAGGCATACTTCCCTCCTGCTGAGTTCAAATCACAGTGTCCAGACTCATGCTGAGGCCTGTGTTCCAGCAGCAGTGGAGTGTGGGGCTCAGTAGGGGCTGTCTTCTCCTTGGCCTTGGGGGTGATGTGGGTGCATGAGCTGGATTACTCACAAGGGGGCATCCTCCCTTTTACTGACTAGTGATCCCAAAGTTGCAGAGTTGTGCTAGAGATCGCTGTGTATGTGGTCTTGGGGGAAGTTGTGGCGTGTAATCAGGTGGAGATTCCAGTGGCGGAAACCATTCCCTGCAAGCACTTGAAAAATTTTCTCCATTTCAGACTGAACTTGCCCAGCCCTGTGCTGAGTAGCTCTTTCTTCCATCTTTTTCCTTCTACTTCCCCACAGTCTCTTCCCCTGCACCCTCCACTTCCCTGCCCTCCCCTTTACTTCCGTTCTCTTTCCATTAAGCCAATCCTGTTTCCAACAGCAAACACCTGCTTCCCACCACCCCACAAAAGTCCATGTCCTTAGCCTGATGTTTCCCACCATTCAGTTGCTCACTTAGTTCATCTCTGCTATCCTACCTCCATTCTCTACCCTCTTATCTGGCATTGGTTCCATCCAGAGAAATTGAAGCACCCCTGGTTTCTACTACATCCGATATAGGTTGTCTTATGGGTTAGACAAAGATTTGCTTGAGATGGTTTGGATAGGGATGATCCTGCCTCAGGCAGCGGGTTAGACTAGAAGTCTCTTCTAGCCCTACTTATTTATGAATCTATGATTCTGTGATATACAGGATTTTTGGAGCATTTATCTTCTTGAGCTATGTGTATTTTCTCCATTTCAGATCCAATGGAAGTTCGGCTGGTGAATGGTTCCAGTTTCTGCAATGGGAGAGTTGAAGTGCTCCATGCCCAGCAGTGGGGAACCATGTGTGCTCATGGCTGGGACATCCATGATGCTGAAGTTGTGTGCCGGCAGCTGGGCTGTGGCAGACCTTTATCAGCCCCTGCTGTAGCAGAGTTTGGACAAGGATCTGGCCGTACCTGGGTGGAAGATGCTAACTGCTTGGGAATCGAAAGCACCCTCTCTGAATGCAGGGTTAAACTTGTGGGAAAGAGCAGCTGTGACCATGGAGAAGATGCCAGTGTGGTGTGCTCAGGTAAGACTTCATTTGGGACACATTTCTCATGCAGCTAATGGGGACTGTGCTGCCCCAAGAAATGTTGGTCCTGTAGGGGGCATTCTTCCTAACAACTCTAGTCACCGGTGGTAGAGCCACGAGGGGTGTGCTGTATGAAGGTGTGTGTGAGGGTTGACAGCAGTGCTCTTCTCTCTCCATCCATGCAAACCTCAGGGGTGCAGCCTGACAAAGGGGCTTCTGTGTTGCAGAGGGTATCCTGTGTGGCGTCCATGGGAACCACTTCCCAGCTGAGCCCTCCAGGATCACAGGCAATAGGAAGAGATACAGGTCTCTGTGCTGCAGGGACTAATCTGGGGCACTGACCTGAGGAGCTTTCACTTATGAGTCTTCAGCGACCCCATATCTCAGTGTGGTGCTATGTGTCTGTGATTCATGCAGCAAGATGCAATTGCAACTCGGTAGATAGTTTTCTCTGAAAATCACTGATGAAAGCCAGTGCTCCAGTGGGTTGCTGGATTGGGCATGTTGTACTGCAAGCAACCAGGTGGGTGGCTCAGTAGGGGGTACTCACCCAAGTCAGCTATTGTTAACCCTGCGACCTACAGGGGTTCCACAGGGTTCTGCGTGAATGGAGCCAGGTGTGCAAAGGCAGGGAAAGTTGCTTTCCCAGATCGGTCAGCTCTGGTCTCCTGGCCCCATGCATCCTAGTAGAAGCCCTATCCCACCACCTGGTTTTGGCATCAGCTGAATCCTAGCTCTGCTGCTGGAGACTAGAAACCTGGGAACATTTTGTCAAGATATGGGCACTTAGACCATCTGGTCTCAGTACTTTTAAGACTCAAACGATGAGCCCTGAGACTTCAACCTTACAACCATGGAAAAAATGCTAATGTTGATGTGCCAGTAATGAGTATCCCTATCACATGGCACAAGGTCTGTCTATGGGAGGTGCTTTCTTCCCTAGCGTCACTGGTGATCAGATGCCCAGGAGATCTGTGACTATTTATTCTTGTTGGTGTATGTGTCCTTTCCTATTCCAGATCCAACTCCAATTCGGCTGGTGAATGGCCATCATCGCTGCGCTGGAAGAGTAGAGGTGCTTCATGATCAGCAGTGGGGAACCATATGTGATGATGGCTGGGGCTTGCTAAATGCCAGGGTTGTGTGCAGGCAGCTGGGCTGTGGGAGGGCATTATCAGCGCCAGGTGGGGCTTACTTTGGACAAGGATCTGACCCCATTTGGCTGGATGACGTAGACTGCTCAGGGAAAGAAACTGCCCTCTTCGAATGCACAAGAAAGCCTTGGGGAGAACAGAACTGTGACCATAGAGAAGATGCCAGCGTTGTGTGCAAAGGTAACCTTCATCCTACTCACTTCCTGCATGGCAATAGGGAACACTGTCCTGCTACCCCACATCAAGGCTCTTATAAAGGAAAGAGAGTTGATTGACTGCTGCTTTTCAAGAGTAGCCTCTAGATTGTCCATATTCATTGGATGTGAATTTCACTAGAGCAGCCTTGTTATGTCCCTGGAGATATGACATTTTGCAATGCCTTGATTGCAGTGGGTAGTCCCTGCATATCCCTCAAGGATGCCTGCAACTCTTTAAGAGTGCTCTCTCTGGTCTCACCAGCTTCAAAGGCCTATAACTGCCTTAATTCCCAAAGATCAGCAAAAAATTTCCTCTTTCAAATGTGGAACCCAGGCACCCTGAAATCCTTTCATCCTTTTCCCTTCTGCATGGTGCAGATGAATTTCCCCGCTCCTCCGGCCTCTCCTCCCCCCTCCCCCCCCGCCCCTGGCATGAGATTTGTTGCTCCTTGCATCCCTGGGGATGGCTGTCCAATGTGGAGGGAAGTCAGGAGGAAAACCCTGTCTTACCAGTGGATTGGCCTTCATCTTTGAGCTGAGCAAGAGCAACGTGTGCTCATGGAGGTTCTTACATTTCAAACATAGTCCATGTTGCAAGTGGCTAGAGCAGGATAGCAGTGTTAAACATGTACAGAGTAAGTCTTTCAGGGTTGGCAGCTTTGTTTTTGAGAAGTCCTTTCTAGGAGCATTCCTAACACCAAGCTTTAGCAGAGATGTTCTTTACCAAGCTGTAGCAGAGATCTGCTTTGTCCATTGGCTGGGGACGGGGAACAAACCCAGTAATGGGTGAGTGGCATGGAGACTGTTAGACAGAGAAATCTCTGGTAACACAGAAATGGTCCACTCCATAACATGCTTCACTGGGAACTTGATTTTTTTCCCTTCCTCTCCTGGGTAAATGTATCTGGTGTTTTTCTCAGCTGCCCTTTCCCATCCCAGAGGTGGCTGCATGCCAGTTGGGGCTGGGAATGAGCCCTTGGCAGAAAGGCATTGCCCGTGGCCCCACCAGTGAGAAGTGCTTCTCTTTTAAGTGGTCAGATTTGCAGGAATGTCTCTGAACACCTGCTCCTTTTCCTTACTCATTTTAGAATCACCTCTGCTCCGGCTGATGAATGGCTCAAGTCGCTGCTCTGGGAGATTCGAGGTGTTTCACAATGAGCAGTGGGGAACTGTCTGTGACAAAACCTGGGACTTACAGGATGCTGCAGTGGTGTGCAGAGATCTGGGCTGTGGAATGGTGGTATCAGCACCAGGCTCTGCTTACTTTGGACAAGGATCTGACCGCATCTGGCTGGATGACGTGAACTGCACGGGGACAGAAGCTGCCTTCTCTGAGTGCAGGGTCAGGCTTTGGGGAGAAAAGAATTGTCACCATGGGGAAGATGCTGGTGTGGTGTGCACAGGTAACCCTCATGGATGTCATCCTCTGTGGCATTTGGAGGTATGCCATACCAAAAGGGATGCTGGTGATCCTGGAAGCCGATCAGAGTGTGGTGACCTGGAAGGCTAGTTGTGCTGTCAAAAGTTGTAAGGTTGGCTCCAGACAGGGAGCTCCTTGTCAGAGGGAGCAGGTTGAGTTTTCAGTAGGAACTGTGCTACCCTTTGCACAGTTTCAGTCCCTGCCTATGTTGGAATAGTTTGGCTCGCCTCTGGGAATACAGAAACTCCCCATAGAAAACATAAGAGAAATACTGTCACAGGTTCTCCAGAGGAGTTTCTTGCTTGGAACCCCTAGCTTTAACTACTAGCTGAAGTGGTGTTGCCACACTCCTATCACTACCGGGTCATGTACATAGAACACTTATAATGGAACAGCTACTGCTTGGTCCAGAGCTGCACCTCTCCCTTTTGACAGCTCTCCGAGTGTACATTTTTCCATTTTTCCCTTAGTCCCCCTATGTCCTGGATCTGGGCATTTCTTTTTCAAGCCATTTTCTCACGCTGGGGCTTCTTTGATGGCTTTCCTGGGGGCAAGGGGCAGCAGAGATTCTCCAGGTACTAGGTCCTGAATCCAAAGGTATGTCTTCATATGCATATTAATCCATTGTATAGTTGATGGCCCATTCTCTAGTACCTGAAACACTTAGTACAGAGCCTCCCCTGTGCATTAACTCTTTTTTTGTGTGTGGTATACCTACATACAAGAAAGTCAGAGAAACTGAGGCAAGCAACATTACAGTGGAGAAAAAATCCACATTTAACCCAGAAGCAATCAAAACAATACCACAATCTGTCCCAACTACAAGTCTACACAGGGCAAAGAAAATGTCTTCCAAATTATAGTCATATAAGGTATGACTTTTCTGGAAACCATGTTCAGGGTATCTCGTGGGCAAAACAGCCTTCAGTGGTTCTCAACTCTTTTTGACTCAAAGTACCCCTTTTTTGGACTCAAGGCACCTCCATAATTTTTGTGAATTGAGTGGCACTCAACTTCCAAAACGAATTTATATAATACAGTGCTCATCTCCTTGCAGAGGAGCGGGGCAGCGGTGAAGGATCAGCCAGGCACGGAGCCTGAGCTTATCTGCTCATCTCCTATTCAAGGGCTGCCTTGGCACCCTGGTTGAGTATCACTGTTTTTACTGATTGGGCAATTACTAATGGGGCTAGAAACCCACAGATCACTTTGTTGAGAACTGAACCCCTACATTCCTTGCTCAGATCAAATTTAAACTTCAGGAACAAGCCCTGAGGCTTCTTGCACAGTAACCACAGCAAAGATGCTGTGTGGGACAAATCAGTAATCATTACCTATATTATGCCCTACAAGGTGCTAGGACCGTCACTGGGAGGTACCATGTTCTTCGGCGGCACTCATCGGTGATCCCTCCACAGTCGAGGATTATTGTCTTCCATGACTGTCTTATCTGTGGGCCTGAAGATGGCTGATGAGGCCTATCCAGGATCGACAGACTCTATTGCAGCTTGGACACGTGTTTCCATGTGGGGTGGGTGGCTCTGGGAGCTTAGTTTGGTTGTGGCACTCGAGTTAGATGCATAGGAGTCTGTCTGACTATTTATCCCCTGGAGGTGTTTGTATCTTTTCCTATTTCAGACCCAGTTGAGATTCGACTGGTGAACACCTCAGGTCACTGTGCTGGGACAGTCGAGGTGTTCCATGACAAGGAGTGGGGAACCGTGTGTGATGACGACTGGGATATACATGATGCCAACGTAGTGTGCAGACAGCTGGGCTGTGGGACAGCATTAGCGGCCATACGCACCTCCAATTTTGGGCATGGATCTGGCCCCATATGGCTGGATGATGTGAACTGTACTGGGACAGAAGCTGCAATCTCCAAATGCAGAGCCATATCATGGGGTGAGCATAACTGTCACCATGAAGAAGATGCTGGTGTAGTGTGCTCAGGTAACCATCATTTATGTCCCATCCTCTTGCCCCTCTAAACCCTGATTTTGTTTCTGGGCAGCATACTGACTATGTATGCTGAGGTGACTCTGAGGCACTTCTGTTACTGCTTACTATGGCACTTCTGTTACTGCTTATTCATTTGGGTGTCCATGCTGCAGAAGGGATGCTGAAAAATGGGAAGATACTGGCAAAAGAACCACACGAATAATTCAAGGGCTGGAAAGCCTGCTGTTCATAGAGAGACTAATGAAGCTGAGCGTGTGTAGCTTAACAAAAAAACAAACCCCCAAAAACTTAAGCAGTGGCATGCCTTCAAGTGGGTTAGATTTTGGATAGTGGTGAGCTCTTTAGTATGATAGAATTATGGAGAAGCATGGCTTGAAGGGCCCTCAGGAGGCCATAGTGTCATAGTGTCACAGTGCTTAGGGTCAGAAGGGATCTAAATAGATCATCAGGTCCGACCCCCTGCCCCGGGCAGGAACGGGTGGCGCGGTCATATCACCCCAGCCAAATATCTGTCCAGCCTCCTCTTGGAGATGCCCAAGGTAGGAGAGAGTACCACCTCACTTGGAGGCCATTCCAGAGCCTGGCAGCCCTAACTGTAAAGTAATGTCTCCTGATGTGCAGCCTGAACCTTCTCTCTAACAATTTGTGGCCGTTATTCCTAGTAACCCCTGGTGGTGCCCAGGGGAACAGAGCCTCCCCCAGTTCTCGTTGGCCCCCCCGGTGAGTTTGTAAACGGCCACCAGATCCCCTCTCAGCCTTCTCTTGTGGAGGCTGAACAGGTTCCGGCCCTTTAGCCTCTCCTCGCAGGGCCTGCCACCCTGCCCCTTGGCCCTGTGAGTGGCCCTTCTCTGGACCCTCTCCAT